CCAGGATAAGAGATCAACTGTGCGGAGTTCTTCTTCTTCTTTGCTTTAATGGCGAATCGCTTCCACTTGCGATATCGCCAAGATATACTGTTGATTTATTTAATGTATAAACTGCCCATATTGTTCATGTAGAACAGTGTTCACGTAGGCTAAGCCTGCACATTGATTTTATTTTTCATTGAATGTAACCGTTTCAATAAGGATACATCTATTACAGGTTGAGGTAGAAACCATGGTGGAACAGCTGATAACAACAGTGTGCAGAGTTTAAAGCGATCAAGTCCTATTACAGGATAAAGGAAATACAGTTTAAACTGCCATTGCAGTTCAAATCACTGTCTGTGTGAACGTGAAAATGAATAGAATATCACCTCCCATCTTCAGAGCAATCTGACTATTATAGCATTACATTTAGCGTTAAGAAAGCTTACTTAAATATCTGCCACAACATAAGTAACCAGATCAAAGTAACATTACATAGCCTACAGTCCGCGGCACTGTGAGTGCAGACGTCGATGTGTACCATTATCACATCATAATGTAGCCTAGGCCTATCATATATTTCCTTATCTGAGTCAGCTTCTTGAGCCGTATCTGGCCGTGCAACACTCACAGTATCACGTACTGTATGCAGAAGTATTATTTTAAGCAACACATTAAGTTGTGGCTTTTATCCTGGATAAAGTGTTTGAGTCATGGATGTTTAAAGTTTAACTTCTTCATATTTTTCTAATATTATAGTTCACTTTTCATTCAGGGAGTATGACGCTGCGCTGTCAGTACGCTTCTCCATGTTTGTGATTGGTCAAATGTTGCCAGCCCCGCCCCTTTCATGTGAACGCGCACTCAGCCGGACAAAGAAACCCTGGCTTGAGTTACCAAGTTGTAGGACCGTTTAGCGAGAGCGCGTTTGTTTTGGATTAGGTAAGCCAGCTAACTCAAACATATTCAGGGTATGTTGAACTGGATTCGTAGTACAGGCCTCTGCTGTGGTGCATGCTGGGCACAAAGAGTCTGCTGAACATCAAAGACTACACAGACAAGAGAAAAGGTGCATAAAGTAACAAGAGGTGCATGTAAAAGCTGTAACTGTTTGTAGTTTGCTTTAAACCATTTAAAAAAAAAAAGGAGATATGAGAGAACAGAAGCAGACTGAATAATGGAGAGCAGGTTCAGCCTGTTTTCCATATGCAGCCCTACTTTGCATGCTATGGCTCTGTATGAGGTCAGTGTCTCTTTATCCTGTCAGTCAGTGAGCAGCAGCATACGTTTATCATGAATTATTTTCATCCAAACATCTGCCATACATGTCAAATGCTTCGGCTTAGACTCACTAGAGACCATTTTTATTTGGACATTTTGCATAAACTTCTTTGAGCTAAAATCTTTATTAAATTTGAACAATTTGTCATTCTTTTTCCAGAACAGAATACTTTTTTTTATATACAGGAGTTTAGGAGATTTCTCATGTTTCTCTTAAGAATAATGGTCAGTAGATACTGTAAGTATTTTTGTGACTTAATGTTAGGTATATTTTAAACAAAGTTTAGTATTAAGGAGTGTTAGCATTGGCCCAGAGAAAGCCAGTTTAAAGCCACTTTAGAGGCAGTGGCTCAGTCAGTAGGGACTTGGCTTGGGAACCAAAGGGTGGCTGGTTCCACTCCCCAAACAGACCAAGGAAGGGAGTGAGGAGCTGTACTTGGAAAGGTGTAAATGGTGAAAATAGCTTCCCACTGCATCCAAATACTAGGATGGGTTAAATGCAGAGGTCAAAAAGGTTTCTAAAAAAGTGTAATCATCAATTTAGAAGTGTTCTGTACATTATTGTCCTGGCTACACAAACATAAAAGATGTATTCATGAGTAATAATAAATCAAATGTTTTGATTTCTTTTGATCACTAAAAACGTCTCCTTCCTGAAGAATATTTCTTTGAAGACATGGGCCGTGTCTCAATTCAGGGGCTGCATCCTTCGGAGTATGCAGCCTACGCGGTCCACGGAGGACCCAGCCCACGTAGACCGGGGCCGTTTCTCAATCTCGAGGATGCTGGCTTGGTAGTCGCGTACTTCCAAGTCACTTCCTTCAGAAACGAAGCAAGTATACTTCCAAGCCATGGCTTCGGAAAACGAAGAAGAATGGAACAGGCAAACAAGTGTACCACTCAACATGAACTGTACCGAAAATAAATACCTCACGATGTATATCTAATTATGAACTTGCTTTACTTTCACGGAACACATTTTTGGTGATAACAAATGTAACATACTTAAATTTAAATGTGTGCTGCGTCGGTTCAGCCATTCTCCGCAAGGGTTTTTGAAATTGGTCCGTGCGCAAAGCATTGTGGGGATTTTAAGGACGCGAAGTCTACCCATGTGCAGCCTCGAAATTTCCCCCAAAACAAGAACGCGGCCTCGGTGGAATTCCAAGTATGCTGGAGATTGGAACAGTATTTTGGCGGCACTCGATGACGTAGCATCCTTGAAATATAAGCTTGGAAGCCAGTATCCTCGAGATTGAGAAACGGCCCGGGGTAGGCTGGACCGAGTGGCCTCTGAAATGAGACCGTCTAGCCTACGGAGCGCTTCGTATTTACGTCACGTGATACGCGTTGTTCGGTTGCGCTGCTCCAGCAGCCTGCTAGCAAATTTGCTTACAAGCTAACTCAGCTGAAAAGGATCCAGAAACTTTACTTTTTTACTTTAACCATTTTTTGGAGATCACTGACGGCGATGAAATAAAGAGGACCATGGCCAGGTAAATAAGATTAAGCTGTTCCTTTAGCCCCAGCAATGTTACATTAGTAAGTTAACAAGTAAATTATATATAGCTGATGTAATTTAATCATATTATTTCATATTTCAAATAAGTCTTGATTTTTCTGTACTAATAAAACAATATGTTTTTTTAAATGAACAAAAGCATGTTGTATAGATTGATTCTTAACAATATTAGTGTTCTAATCTTAATAGCTGTGATCATAACAGTTTATATATTCTCCTTCTTCCCCTAAACCTGCCCAGATGATGTCCCACTGACACCAGGTCAGCACCTCCAGGTCCAGCACCACCGTGACCCCTCCTCCGCTCTGCTGAAATACACAATTAAACATTTTTCTATGACCTATTTTTTGTATTAATAAAATTAAACTGAACTTAAGACAGTTTAATGACCTAGAGATATCCTATTATTCCACTGCTTATGTACACATGTTATAATATAAATAAATAAACAATGTGTTTAACAATGACTATTTTAATTTAATTTTGTATTTTCATCTAATCACAAAGTAGAGGTAAGAATATTATTATCCATCCTCTCTCTGCAGCTTCATGTCTTCTTTTATTATAACTTTCATCATTGAGACAGAGGAAATCAATCATGTTATTTAACATCATCAGCAAGGCAAGTTTATTTATATAGCACCTTTCAACACAAGGCAATTCAAGGTGCTTTACAAAAATGAAAGACATTCAGACAAAGGCATTTAAAAACACTAAAAGATAATAAAAGAAAAATTAAAAGAAAAAATACATGAATAAAAAGTTACAGTGCAGTTTAAGATATGAATAGTTCACACAGAAGTTCCACTTTACTGATGAACACAACGGCTCAGTTTCAATTAAAAGCAGCGGCAAAAATAAAAGTCTTCAGCCTGGATTTAAAAGTAGTCAGAGTTGCAGCGGACCTGCAGGTTTCAGGGAGTTTGTTCCAGATATTTGGAGCATAATAACTGAACGCTGCTTCTCCATGTTTAGTTCTGACTCTGGGGACAGAAAGCTGACCAGTCCCTGAAGACCTGAGAGATCTGGATGGTTCATAATTTAGCAGGAGGTCAAATGTATTTTGGGCCTAAACCATTCAGTGCTTTATAAACCAGCAGCAGTATTTTAAAATGTATTCTTTGACACACAGGAAGCCAGTGTAAAGACTTCAGAACAGGAGTGATGTGATCCACTTTCTTAGTGTTAGTGAGGACTCGAGCAGCGGCGTTCTGAATCAGCTGCAGCTTTCTAATAGATTTTTTAGTGAGACCTGCAAAGACACCATTACAGTAGTCCAGTCTACTGAAGATAAAAGCATGGACAAGTTTTTCCAAATCCTGCTGTGACATCAGTCTTTTAATCCTAGATATATTCTTTAGGTGATAGTAGGCTGATTAAGTAACTGTTTTAATGTGACTGTTGAAACTCAGGTCAGAGTCCATGACTACACCTAGATGTCTGGCTTTATCTGTTGTTTTGAACATTGCAGGCTGAAGCTCAGCGCTAACTTTTATACGTTCTGCCTTGGCTCCAAAAACCATTACCTCAGTTTTATCTTTGTTTAATTGGAGAAAGTTCTGACACATCCAGTCATTGATTTGTTCAATGCACTTACTCAGTGTTTGAATTGGAGAATAGTCTCCTGGTGAAATGGTTATGTAAATGTGTGTGTCATCCGCATAGCTATGGTAACTTATTTTGTTGTTTTTCATTATCTGAGCCAGTGGTAGCATGTAGATGTTAAAGAGAAGAGGCCCCAAGATGGAGCCTTGAGGTACCCCACCTGTCATATTTGTCAACTCAGATGTGTATTTACCTATAGAAACAAAGTTGTTTCTGTCCTTTAAGTAGGATTCAAACCAATTTAGAACTGTTTTCGAAAGTCCCACCCAGTTTTCCAGTTGGTCTAGTAATATGCTGTGGTCAACAGTGTCAAACGCAGCACTGAGATCTAATAATACTAACACTGAAGTTCTGCCACTGTCTGTGTTTAAGTGGATGTAATTAAAGACCTTTACAAGAGCAGTCTCAGTGCTGTGGTTTGGACGAAAGCCTGACTGGAACACATCCAAACAGCTATTTAAATGCAAGAAATTACTCAACTGTTGAAAGACTACTTTTTCAATGATTTTACCTAGAAATGGGAGGTTTGATATGGGCCTGTAATTGTTCATTACTGAAGCGTCTAGATTATGCTTTTTTTTTTCAGCAGTAAAACAAATATCAGCGAAAGTGTGTTTATCGAGTTGTTTATTTGTATTATATGTGCAGCAAGTATATAGAAGCAGCTGTTTGGGGAATCAGACAGATTCAAGCTATAATCGTTAAATATCTATTAAAAGAAAGGACACATACAAAATCAAATTCTGAAACTAAGACACAAGTCTGTAGGATGGCAGTAAGCAGAGGTCTGGGTGGAGGATGTTCCTGATCGCTGTTTTGCTTTCTCCAGCACCTTGGGGGTCCAGCTGGATAGCAGCTCTGTCCTGATGATCGCTGTGCACTTTTCAGATTAGGGGTCCTTCTCCAGCAGATCCATTTCTCCAGAATTTTCCTAATTACAGAGAAAAACAAGAGAAAAAGAAAAAAGTGAATTAATCATATTAAACACAGGGTTGCAAAAGTATTATTGCAAAATGTAACTAAGCATTTCGGACAAACAATCCTTAAAGGATCATTTAAAATCATGTACTGTTTTGGTTTAAAAACAATTAAGAGATGAAATCACTCTTGCATCCCTTTGACAGCACTGCACAAACTAACATCAAGCAAAAGGCTGCTGTCTATTAGTGATTGTCTTATTATTATGGGATTAAATGAAATAAAAGATGATCAAATCTGGTGGAAATATTTAAAATAGGCTTTTTTAGCCCTACCTCAAAGCAGCATGAGCTGAATACAAAGGTTGTAATGTTGTCCCAAAGTTTAATAAACAGTAAAACATTGCAACATGTCAGAGAAATAAATAAAGCAAACAGCAGCTACACGTCAGGGTAGCATTTTATAAATCCCACCGTACTGTAGGCTATACCGGTGTAAATGTTTTCACTTTGGTCTATTTATGTAATATAAAGTATAACTTATCTATAGCCAAGATCTCTGTATGACTTTAGTACACTTTTGAATTGAATCAAAAATAAGTGTAAACAACAGTGCAGCACGTCCAGCTATCTAGTTAGCGTGACTAACGTCACGTATTTATCCGTATTATTTAACGAAAATGTACGTTTTAATGCCCCTTGGGTTTGACGTGTGTGACGTTAGTTAATTTAAAGTAAGTTAAAACATAATACTCACATTTATTAGTGATTCCTCCGCTTGGTGCAGCTTTTAAATCCACTCTGCTGGGGAGTCCGGACCGCCATTTAATTTGAAAAAAACTCACTTTTCCCTGCGCGCATTGTACCCTGGCATATGGTAGACCGCGTATCCTCCAAATCTGGGAAAAGAAGGCTGAATTTTTGGGCCGCATTCGGAGGAGGGTCCTTCTCAGGTCGATTATTTTCATTTCCTCGCTCCTCGCTCCTCGGTATCACCGGAAGTTGATTTGTCTGCGCCATCTTGAGTACCGTCCCATGGCGCTTATTTCTGCCTGAGGAGCGATAATGGAGGAGCGATAACCGAGGAACCACCAGACCATCCTCCGATGGAATCCAGATACTCGCCCCGCCCCCTTACTGTGTATCGCTCACTGATTGGACGATGCAGTGCATGCACTGATCTGATGCTTCTTGACATGAGAGCAGTTTCCCAGCAGAGTGAAGAAAATACATGAACCTCACGCGAGTCACTCCTCAGTTTATACCGTGTTTTGTTTCAATTCATGTATAATTTAGTTACAACAATTTGATATATCTGAACAACAAAGTGGTCAAACATTTTTTTATTCATTTATTGGAAACATTTTCATGATCGCTTTATTCGTTTATACATTTTAAGAATGGCGTTTATCTTTTTTGAGGATGAGTTCTTATTTTATTTAATGTATTTGGGTCTACAACAGATGATACAAATGGTCAATAACGTAACAGTGCCCGGTAACATTTTACACACTTAATTAAGTACGCCAAATCTCCTCCCTCCATAATGCTTCATTTGCTTGATAATTTCTAACGGCGGTGATGACAGTTACAGTATTAAAATTGATGTTGATGTGATTGGATGGCAGTGTCCAATCAAATCGCCAGCCGCCCCTGAAGGGAAGCTAGAGGTGGCTGGCTTCCCCTGGCATGGCCCTGACCAATCACAGGTTGGCAGGGGCATCACGTGGGCCTCATCTGATTGGTTAATCCCTCAATTTTGTTTCACCAAGGGAAGCTAGATTCTGCTGGCCTCCTCTCGCAACAGTGAATGCAATCTACTGTTTCACCATAACATCTAGAGGGGCGCTGTTTCACTCTTTGTAAAATACTCAATGAGAATGACAGAGAGACGGTCCGGCAGGAACACACAGGAAAGTAGAATTACAGAAACAAAACAAAGTGTTTTTATTTATTTATTTAAATTATAACTACAATCCGAAAAAACAGGGGAAGCCTGGCTTCCCTTGGCCTCCGGGAGAAAACGCCACTGATTCATTGGATTGCACACTTTGTTGTTCAGATATATCACATATTTGTAACTAAATGATACATGAATTGAAACAAAACACGGTATAAACTGAGGAGTGAGTCCCGTGAGGTTCATGTATTTTCTTCACTCCGCTGGGGTATTGCTCTCATGTCAAGAAGCATCAGATCAGTGCATGCACTGCCTCGTCCAATCAGTGAGCGATACACAGTAAGGGGGCGGGGTGAGTATCTGAGGATTTCATCGGAGGATGGTCTGGTGGTTCCTCGGTTATCGCTCCTCCATGATCGCTCCTCGCTCCTCGATCCTCGGTCCTCCGGCAGAAATAAGAGCCATGGGACGGTACTCAAGATGGCGCAGGCAAATCAACTTCCGGTGAGACCGAGGAGCGAGGAAATGAAAATAGTCAACCTGAGAAGCAGCCCCTGCTTCTTGTGGTTTCCTTGCGTCTCTCCATGCTTCCCTGGTGGGAGGGACTAAACGCAGGGAAACGACGTAAGTGAGGGACGCAATGATTCCATTTAATCGACCTGAGAAGGACCCACAGTCTCGTCTTTTTTTAAAATTGGGACAGCCTTCTTTCGGCGGAAGTGACGTATGCGGTCTACAAATGCAGCCTCCGAAGGGTGCAGCCCCTGAATTGAGACACGGGCCGTTTCTCAATCGCGAGTACACATGCTGCAGAGCAACTATTTCAAGTATACTACGTCATAGAGTGGCGTAGAATGCTGGGCATTTAACATGCATTTAAACAGTCCTTCGACGCCACTCGATGACATAGTATACTTGAAATAGTTGCTCTGCAGCAGTTTTACTTGCGATTGAGAAACGGCCACAGTGTAGGTACCATATGTGTTCGGCCTACCAGATGTGTTCGGGGTCCGTTACGCTGACCAATGACGTCACCCATTGGCTGTACGGCAACCCAAGAGGACATTTTACACGGCCAAATTTCCGAATGTGTTGAAACTCCAGACTCAACGTAAGAGCTTGAGCCTCTTCGGGGGGTGCTAACATTTAAACATACACTTCATTCTTTACTTTGTCCGAATATTCGGCCCACGGGGGTGGGGGGGGCGTAGTAATCAGCTGCGAAACGCTTCAACAAGTGTATTTCGGTGTATTCACGACATTCATTTGGTTATTCTACAGTATTGTTGTTTTATAGTTATTTGTTAATGTAACCCAATTTGTGTTCTTTGAAATTGAAAAGGATATCGCATTGTGTTTGTTACTTTCGTTGCAGTTGTATATGTCTTAAGTGTAATTTGGCTTGGGTTCCTAGTGAAATGACCCGGAAGTACGTCAGTGGCAGCCATGATAAGTGCCGTTCCAATTCTCCAAATGAAAGGAAAGGAGGTTTTAAACTTCCTTTATAACCTCCTTTAGCTTAGGAACCACTGGACCTGCCTAACCGAAAGGAGAGGAGAAAATGCTGCCCCACAATGCATTGCAGCCGCAGCATTTGCCATCACAACAGTTCACGGAAACAACCGATTATGACCGATAAATTATATCATGAAAGTTACGGTGCTTATTAAGCTTTTTAAAACGTATGTGGTAAGTTGCCAAAGTGCTTTTTTCTGAACGTTCATCAGTATTATAATCAAAAAGAGAAATATGAACGTTAGTTTTTACTGAAATGATCAAATAAAGTCAACATTTCACTGAGCTGTGTGGGGTTGTTCAACTTTTAAAAGATGTTTGAATGGTGATATACACAGTGATAGATGGTAAGGACTAACGTTTATAATAAATACATTTGTATTTATTTTAAGATATTTTCATACAATCATACGTATTGGGATCATTTGTATTAATGTGGACCGGAGGGAGAGGGTGAGGAGCATAAGTTTCACTTTTTTATTTCAATTCAACTTTGGTCATGAAGAATATGTTTCTCTGTTGTCCACGTTCATAAAGCATAAAGCAACAGCATCAGAGCACGGTGCAGAGTCTCTAGATGAGTTTACAGGAGTCCCTCGTTCTTATTGAACATCCATGTTGTAGTCCGCTAACTGTAGTTTCCATAGTTTCCCCACAGCAGCAGACGCACATTCATGACGTCCGCTGGCGCATCATAAACACGTCCGATAGTGAAAGTGCAGTCGGATTCTCTAAAGTACCGCGGTCTCTTCTCCTAAGTCCTTTTGAATTCTCCTATCCACTATCCCTTAACCCCGTGACGTTTCACTCAGAGGTCAAGGAATAGGAGATAGGGTTAGAATTTAGGAGCTGATTTTTGGATTATCGGAACGCAACCCGGTACTTTAGAGAATCCGACTTTCACTATCTGACGTGTTTATGATGCGCCAGCGGACGTCATAAATGTGCGTCTGCTGCTGTGGGGAACCACAGTAAACTTGTTGGGCAGCTATCCATATGATCAGGGGCGACTGGTCATTAGGGGGCACAGCCCCACCTAGTGTCAGCAGAAAGTATTAAAAATAATGATTACAAAAAAAAAAAATATATATATAAAATATATTTTAAGATCATGTTTAATCATCTGATTCCTCTGTACATTGTTGTTTTAGTCTGTGTTCTTCTAATTAGTGTCTAGAGTGTGTGCCTGTTGAGCTGTTTAGAGCCATGTGGGACAAAACCCGATCATCCCCCTCCCTCTCACTGTCTAAGTAAAACTACACTGCACATGCTCAGAGTATTGTCCTATTTAATGTGTGTGGAAAAAAAATAATGACCATAGGGGCACTGAGCTGCCATCCCCACCATACGTCATCTCACATAATTCAGAACTGATTGGCTGTAAGTACGTGTGCCACGAAAAGTGTGGTGTGTGAAGAGGAGACGAGAGACGCGTCCTAAAACCAGGAAGTAAGCTGCGCATGGGTTCCCTCCACAAAAAGCAATGATATTTCTCCATAGGATTTTAGAAATTAGCTCAAAATAAGACCTGTGGGAAACGTACCTGTTAGATAAATGCACGTTTTGTTCAGCCGGATAATATCCACATGTCTACCTACTTTTATCATTTTCGAATCATAAATCTATCGATTAGATTTATGATAGACTTCTGAAACTACAAGAAGATAAGGAGGACTTTTACAAAAAAGTAATAGAGATGTTTGTCTAGAAGGATAGGCAAATGGACTTCATCTTCAAGTCAAGGTAAGACCGCAATTTTATTGAAAATGGGATCTTACTAAGAGAGAACAATTCAATATTTAAATGATAAAATTACATTTTTTGGGTATCCTTTTGTTGAACTGTCTGTTTAAAATTAATTGAAGCATCAGAAAAAAAAAAGCTTTTGAAAATAATATTATATTTTGATTTAGGTCAAAATATAATATTTGTAAACCTGAAGAGTCAGTGCCAGTGCCTCACCAGCCATGAACTTCACTGCAGAAGCTTATAGACATCTACGTTTTTTATGCCCCACCACTTTTGTACATATAAAAACACCACTGCATATGATATGAAAATAAGTAAATCAATCAATTGTATTATACGTTACATGAAGACGTGTATACTTCCCCTGTTTAATATTATGTTTCATGATGCTATGTACATGACTCTTGATTAGTTACATCTAGTTAAGGGGTAGCCAACACGGTGCCTGCGGGCACTTAGTCGCCCGCAGGGGCAACGTGAGTCGCCCACGGGGCATGTTCTAAAAATATCTTGCCAAGCAAATCCAAAATGTATAAAATACACAAAACAAAAAAGGAAATGTAATTAAAAGAATCAACCCTACAGTATGCATAAACGAAACCTAAATCATAGCGAACTCTATCTACTTACTACAACTCTATATCTATCTAACACCCCTCCTCCCCCCACCATGAATATCGACCAATCACGTTCTTGCTTGATTTGCGGGACCAGCGTTGCAGTCGGGAAGAAAAGCAATGTGGCACCTCCCTGCTGATTTTCCTTCTGGCAGAATCTACACAACACATCAGCCCCATTGAACAGCCTATCATGCCAGCCTATATACAGCACATGAGGGGCAGAGTTTTACTGTGTGTGTTGCAACTTGCTTATATATTTATTGCACTTGACGCACACACACGCAT